TCTTCTGCACACACAAGCACAAAACACTTACCATCCTTTCTCTCATAGCTGGGCATATTTCTTCAGCTCTTTGTAGCAGAATTCTTGGCACTGAGAATGCAGAACCTTCCATAGCCTCGAAACTTTTTCTTATCACACGTTTTGTGGCTGCAAATGAATTGATTTACTACAATCCTAGTGATGTAGCATCATATTTCTAACAGGCGTACTAGTATCTAGCCGCGAATATTTGCCCAGGTCTGTAAGGAAATATACTGATTGTGTATAAAAACATAATGATGTGTCTTCCTTTGTTCTCAGAACAGAGACTACAAAGCTTATGCACTTACTGCTCTTACTGCACGTCCTCCTAACTCCTAACGCTCCTAACGCTCCTAACCGCTCTTAACACGCCATTGGTCACTGTACGAGGGAGCGTGTGGGAGGGAGTGTTTAACTACGAAATGTGCAAAACGGTGCGCATAGGTGTACGACGTGTACGAAATGAGCCAACGAGCCCAACGAAGCTACCTTCCGTGTCTCCGTGTCGTAACCGTCGTAACCGTCGTAAGGGTCGTAACTAACAAAGCAAGCGGAAGAATTAATTTGTGAGGAACATAAAGTATACGAGAACGATATATTTTGTTTGGGGTTGCAGTGAAGTGATATTCGTAGATTATTTTTAACAGCTAATCCTTCGTATACAATTTTGCATAATCAGCTAACTTACAATGCAGTGTTGCTGTTCACGGGTATTCGGGAAACTTATACGTATGTAGAAGTGCGGTTATGTATGGAATCATTATCAGAACTGCACATAACATTCATGCACACGAGTAGTTTTAGCCATTTTCGCTGTTTTAGTCGTAGGAAGGCATGCCAAAATATGGAGTAAGGTGAAATATGTTGTATTTCCAGGTTATGGTGCTACGCCAAATACCGTGCAAGTGGCAGGAGTGAAGTATTTTCCAGTGCCACAGACGTACGATCGTAAGTCATTATTCGAAATATATTTGCATAATGATATATTTGGACCAGATTGCCTTACAACTGCTGAAAGAATAACAGCTATATTATTAGTTACTATAGGATACTGACGATGGTGTATAACACACAGAGATATTGGGTTTTCGGACTTTATCCATCGTCCTGGTTTTTAAGGTGAGGACGGAAACAGATCCAGTTTCCGAAACGTCGTGTTTTTCTTAGTTATCTTAAAAACCAGGACGATGGTTAAAGTCTGAAAACCCAATATCTCTGGAACTATGTTATTGCTGCAGATCTTACCACTAAAACTCAGTGAAGTGATTGGTTACAGGGTGGGTGGCTGGAGTTTATTGATGGTGGGTGCTTGGGTTTATCCTTATTGCGTTATATCGAAAATGACATTTGATCCCTACTTAGCCTCTTATCTGGTTCTCTTTCTCTGGGGATGGGGAAATGAAGTACAAAGCTGGTCACTGTTCCCATGTTGTACCTAGAATATGTGGAGCATTAACTCCAGTCTCTTTGTATGTCTTATATGGTTAGGCACAGGGGCTACTTTGCGTGTTACAAAAACCCATTTCAGTATTAAGTTGAAACAGTCAAATTCCATAGAAAGCTATTTTGATGATAATAAAAAAAGCAAAATACTAGTTTTAATCAAGGTTCTTCTGATTATACACAGGTAGAGAAACATTATCAGGCTTTTAGATTTACTAGTAGTACAGTTTATGTGTAAGGTAAAGGTGAGTTTGTTCTTGTGCTTAATTAATTAAGCATGGCACCATGAAGATGTATGAGGGAGTGGAGGTATAGCTCCACAATTCTTGATCTTGGAACTATGTAGATGAATTTATGTATGCATTCACAAAGGGTTTAATTTTTTTTTATCTATTTAGATATTGAATTTCCTGAGAAAACTAAACTCAGATTTATGGATAAAGTACCGCAGATGCAGGGAAATATTCGACCTCCAAAGATGATAAAGAACCTAAAGTTCATGCGTGGACCAGAAGAGGTTCACAATTTTCTTCTTCATCAGCAGTTTGGAATAATTGTTAAGTATAATTATGTTCAGTGGTATACTGCTGTGTGAGGTGCACCAGTTGACACTGTTGAATGTAGTGCTTGTATGTTTATATTGTCATGTGGTAGTAACTAGACATGGGGTTTGGATTTATTGAATGTTTATAACTCGTAAATACAAGTAATTATAACACTTTCAGTAATCTACACACACATCAAATCATTACTGCAAACACCAAGTCTTCCAAATCTGCCATGTCTTCACTAGTCATTGATTGGTAGCAGTGTCTAACAGTGTAACTTTAGAATTGTAAACACTGACTCTGGCCTCCGACTCACAACTGCCGATTCACTCACTTCAAGCCAAAGTCAAATTCATGTTACAACTGATAGTCGGTTGGTCAATCTTGGTGTGAAGCCCCATCTCGGGTTTAAAACAGTTTTTGTTCCTGCGGTTTTGTCGATGTGTGGCGTCCTTTCTGACAAGAGGACAGGTCTGCAATTTACTGTGATCAAAAGCATTAGTACCTTTCATCTATACAGTTTTACATGTCTGCAATCTACATAGTTGTTTGTCAAGAGGCCAGTTCCTCGTGGATACCTAATACCTACTATAGAGTTTTACATGTAACACTAGTATACATGTCAAAGTCAAGGTTATGTTAAAACCGATGGTCAGTTCACCAGTCCATCTTGGTGCCGTGCTTCATCTGGGCCCCAAGACCAGATTTCTATTACTGTCAGACAATGGCAGGCTTGCTGATGTGGGGCACCCTGTCTGACAAGATGATGGGTTTGTTATTTACAATTGCTGCTGGGTTTGCCAGCGCAGTCATTCTTGGGTCTGAGTCCTGCAGAACTCATGACCATATATTACTGTTTCAGATTCAAGACTCCCCCAACCTAGAGGGCCAGGTATGCATATTTATATTCCCCAGGAACAGGTTGGCGTAGTTATATCCCCAGGAACTGGATTCCCTTTTTGTCGCCCCCTACCTACAGTGTAGGTATTCAAACTCACCTCCATGTGGGAGCTGGGTCCCAGTCATTTGGCCAGTTAAATTGCTGCTGGTCTTTGANTTAAGATTCTACGGTCCTTCTTCAGGCTACACCGAAAGATGTTTAAAATACAGAAATACGTTTGGGCTGACGTATCATAGTAATACTGACTTCATGTTTGTTTCTAATTTCACTGCGCGTAGTAAGCATAATCCATTCACATAAGTAACACACAGATGTAAATTCATGCATAAATGTGGACTCTCGTTTCATTACATCAAATCAAAGTCCCTACTTACTAATTAATCTAATTAATTGCACGACATACCTCAATTACGTACATATACATTCACAAGCTACGCAGTTTTACTCGTTTTACTGTGGGAACCTCCCCGCCGAAGAGCCAAAATCGTTCAACGGAAATTTAAGATCCTCTGATTGGCTCACACTTACGCGATTCGATTGAATGCGATAGGTGTATAATGATCGATTCCAGTCATTACGAGACTACCTAGTTCATGTAAATGTTCATAGATGGCTGGTCTGCATGTTTCCCTCTCCCCTATGGGAGTTACACCCCCCTGCTTAGGATTAAATAGAATATTGTTATTAAATTAAAAGTCAGTGTGGAAATTTAAATGCCTGGGCAACCAGTATTATTTATACAGCAGCTTGAAAGAATTCAGTACCTTTAATCCTATGCTAGCGTTATTGCAGTAGAATTTAGTAAGATTATATATTGGGCCATGCCATAGCTCAAGTGGTTAGTCGCTGGTTTCCCACTGCGGCGGCCCAGGTTCAGTCAAGTGGGATTTGTGGTGGACAAAGTGGCACTGGGGCAGGTTTTTTCCGAGTACTTTGGTTTCCCCTGCCAATCTTCATTCCACCAATTGCTCCACAGTCACCCTCACCTATCATCTGGGGCTGGTACACTAGGCCAGAAGTGGCTACAGTACAAGGGACTTAGTCCCACCCCACTAGCAAAAAAAAAAAATAGATATATTCCCCATACTTAACAAAGTAAAACACAGCGTATAAAAGGCATTCAAAATAGCTGGTCTGATACTGTCAGAACAGAGTGGATTTAAATCATGCAACAGAGAATTAAAGTTGAGGAAATTACAAAGTTACTTGTGTTGTCTCTTACCATGTCTACTCATGGTATTGAACAATGCAGTTATGTATGTCTTTGGTGGTATGGTTTGGATAACAAAATTATCACTGATAGTTCGTGCTGTGGAAATGATTGTTATATTGGTACAAAACATCAGATTTCAAGTGTTTTACATTTCAGTTCCGAGGTGCTAGTCTTTCAGAAACTAAAATGAATAAGAGTCTTACTTTCATAGAAATATTATATTTATGCAGGTATTTAATCTGCAATATTATCTGATGACCTTTATTAATTTTTATAATAAAAGTTTTATTTCAAATTGATACACCTCTACTGCATTTTGTATTATCCTAGTCAAATTGCACAAGTAAAGATATTTTAACACACAAATGTAACATTCAGGAGATGCTGTTTGAGTTATACGTAATATGCATTTTGCAGGTTGTGCAAAATTACTGAGAGAATACCAGTAAACATCTTTCACTCTTTGTTATTGAAACTTATTATGTTCCAGAAACCTACTAATTTCCCTCTGTCCTTAATAATAGGCATTAACTGGAGGTCGTATGAAGTGGGGTCATTTTGAAATGGTTCGCCTTGGAATTTTGCGAAAAATGGATCAAAATCGTATGTTTGCTGTATGGAGAATTGATGGACCCTGGCAACCAGTTACAAAAAAGGTATTGTATATACTGACTTCTGAACCTAGCACCTCTTTAGGTCTTTTATTGGTACCAGCGGTATAGATGATTTGACTGGATTGTCTCCATGAAGTTAGAGTAGCCAGAAATTTGTATAATTTAAAGTTTTATGCTAAAATAATTATATTTCAAATTTTTAAAAGGAAAGTTTTTTTTATTTCATTTTACCCCAAATTAATATATGTATAGTTTATGTTGTAACTTGAACTTGACTGGTTATCTCCCCTGTGATAAATACGTTATGTAAATTTGAGATTGTTTTAAACAGCTGTAGTTTTCCATCACTTAATTTGGTTGTGAAGAACAAATCTCTTCAAGATCCATATTTTACAGTGTAGTTGGTTGAGGCACTATGGTACAAGCAAGAAGGTTGCAGGTTCAAGTCCTGATGAGGTCACTGGATTCTTTTTCAATTTACCTAATGCCTTCAGCCACACTATGGCCCTGGGATCGACTCAGCCTCTGACAGAAATGAGTACCAGGAGTATTTTGGAATATTCTTGGGGGTAAAGGGCACCTGGCTTGTAGGGCTGACAACCTTGCCATCGTCTATGAGCCAGTTGTCTATAAAATGTGGGAACCTCAACATCTCACAACCCTATGGGCCTCCACAGCCTGTTACAGGGATACCTTTATTTATTTATTTTTTTTACATACATTTAAGTCCTTCTAAATGCTACAGTTTCATTATTATAGCTGACACTTCACATGGAGACCTGCATACACTTTTGTGGGAGTATTAAGCATAAACTGCCAGACATTTATGAGAATGAAGAACGTTTCAGGCAGAAGTTGTGGAGGAAAATGAGACATATTTCATACCCAGTGCACTTCTTTTAAGTATTACAGTTTTTGAGATACTGTAATTAAGCAGAAGGTAGCATATGCCCCAGAAATTTTACACTATGTTTACACTCCCTAACTTGTTAAAAATATTATAGGTGAGTTGAGTATTGTAGTGAATTGTGACTTTAAGAGGTGGATTGATAGTTATGACAAGACCATTGTACTATTTACAAACATTCCACACATAACTATCCTGTGTTGAGTGCAGGCTTTTGAAATTTTCCTCATAAGTTTAGAATTGAATTTTATGGAGATACTTTCAATTTAAAAAAATCTCGTGAGTTGAAATTTCCATGGATGACATGGTCATAAACAGCCATCAGAAACTGAATTTCTTATTTGTAATTTGGTGTATCAAAATACATTATGTCACACACTGAAGTCTCTTAAGAAGAAAACAGAGGCAACAAGGAATTCTGGGTAGAACTCTTAAGCCAGCTTTCTGATTGCACAGGCTTCTAGTCCTACACTTACAGCATAGTGATCACCTAAGAAAATTTTTCTAATACTTAAGAAAGGAAAGTAGGCCAAAACAATATTGCATGATGGTAACCTAGAAGCTGTTATAAAGAGAAGCAGAAAATATAGAACATCCCAGGAAAGGCTGTAATAGCAATTTGTTGCTGGTTGAAACAGTCATAACTGTAAATATAACTTATTTTTAATTAATATCCACGACTTGAAAAATGCGCTTGTCTGCAATTCTGTGATGAGTGAACATTTTAAGCTGAGTATAAAAATCAATACAGCAGTTTCAGTTTAGTTGATTCCATTAATTTGTTCTTGTTTCTCTTACTTCCACTTAATACATAATTATCTTTGGTATAAAAGAATAATTTAATCTAATTTATGTCAGATACAGTATAATAATATGTTTCATAAATTGCCAATATCAAAAACTACGCAGGAGACCCTGAAATTCATATTTCACGGTTAATCAAATCGGTTTTGACAAGCTTCATAGGAACGTTAGTAGTGGTCAAGTTACAAAATTTGCCATTGTATGTTGCTTCTTGACATACTGCATATGTGGTGAGGAGTAAAGTCACTATAATAGAAGTCAGTGATCTCAGGTAGTCATATTAATGTGTCCACAGTGAAGCACAGATTATGTTGCTGTACACAGATATGTAAACATGACTAAAGAGAAAAGCAGAAACATGTTTGAAATTTCTCTCATCACACTGTTGCTTATGTCAAGATTTTGAGGTTATGGATGGTACTGGTATTGCACTGTTTTTCCAGTTTAACTTAACTTTAACTTTAATTTCTTGTTCCATCACATCCATTTGAGGCTGAAGCCTAGATACGGAATTGTGTCAAATTATCTTGCTAATACAATCAAGCAGTTGTTTCTCCATAATTGGTGCCCTAATTTGTGGGACCTACTGCCTGGCAGCCTCATTGCACCATTACAACTTTCCTTTTATCAGCTCAAATCTTAGTGGTTCTTAAGGTCAGTTTGGGAATTCCCATGGCATTGGCTATGTCAACTGTATAATGTGTGTACAGCCATTATGATTGTACCTTCTAATAACATCTAATTTCACCTCAAGGGTAATAGACTTCCTTTGCATTCTGCCACACGTAGCACTTCTGTGTCATGTTATGACAATCAGTTTTATGTTATGGGTTACATAAAATTAGGAAGATAAATGCAGTGTAATTTGAGATGTTGCCCAGATTGCAACTGCAGAACAAGTGTGTCTACATCAATGCTGAAGAGAGTAGATCTCACCTGTGCTTGAATTATTTGCCCACCACATCATAATTAGTTCATGTTGCAGCAACTGCTTAATCTTTCTAAGAAGATTTATGATATAACAAAATCACAAAGTGGAATTGAAGATAATGAGGGATGTCTATACATAAAATTAATAGTTTATGGACACAATTAGTGTTTAATGCCTACTTTGTTATTACTATATCGCAATTTTCATACCAAGAAGCAGTCACTGAGATAATTATTTTCACCTTCTAGGGCCAGGGTCAGCGTATGGGTGGTGGCAAAGGACCTATTGATCATTATGTGACACCAGTCAAAGCTGGAAGGGTCATTCTAGAGTTGGGTGGAAGATGTGAATTCATAGAAGTAAGTTACTTACTTGCTTTCAGCTAGTGAAGTATTTCAGATATCCCATATTGGTATATATTGTGACATATGTGCCATGTCTGTAACAGTAGAAGAATGTCTTCGTTGCTTGCCACCGACTCCATAAACATTTTCGTGGCGGCGAATACAGGCAACAGTAGAATAACTGCTGTTTCTATGCAACTGGCAGTAAACACTTTCCCCTTAAGAATGTGTAAACAGTGGGGAGTCCATTGTTATAAGATACACACTGTGACTAGTTGGTAGGTTATGCAGCTATTCCGAATAGAAGAGGTTTTCTATGTGGTCCATGCTGCGGCTGTATAACAAGATTCCGAGAATAATTAGAGCAACATACATAAATTAACAAATACATTAAAATTGCGAAAGGCTTGTGGACTTGATGGTATTCCAAATGAATGCTTTAGGCTTCTTCCAAGAAGACCACTGGTGCATCTGACACATTTAATTAATCACTGCCTTTGGCTGTCCTATCTTCCAAAGCCTTGGAAGAAGCAAAGGTTATACCCTTATTGAAACCCGGTAAGAACCCAAAATTTCCTCAAAATTTACGCCTGATTAGCCTCTTGTCTACAACAGGCAAGCTATTCGAAAAAGTTATTTTGAAAATAGTCCAAAGGGAAATTGAAGAAAAAGGCCTGATTATTGCAAGCCAGTTTGGATTCTGTGCCCATCATAGCACGACACTTCAATGTATGAGGCTTACGGACCACGTAACCTTAAAATTCAACAATAACATGTCTACAGCTGCTGTATTATTGGATATTGAAAAAGCCTTTGATAAAATATGGCACACTGGCTTGCTATATAAATTATCTACATTATAATTTTTGATAATTGTAATTGTCATTGTATCTAATTCTAATATAGTTCTGTAATATAATTTTCCCAAATTTTCAGATCAGAGGCAAGTGCTGAAAATTTGGGAAAATTATATTACAGAACTATATGATCGACCTAATCGGCCAGAAACCTTGGAAGTGGAACCGGAAGAAGTAGATACAGACGAGAAAGGACCATATATTTTACAAAGTGAGGTGGAAAAAGCTATCAAGGAAATGAGGAAGGGAAAGGCTACAGGAGATGATGATGTACCTGGAGATGTGCTCAAGTTACTGGGATAAGGTGGTTTGAAAACACTGACAAAACTATTGAACACCATATATGAAAGTGGAGAGTGGCCCAAGGACTTTACAGAAGTTACAATGATTGCCTTAAAGAAAAAGACAAAAGCTACAAAATGCAGCGACCATCGCACAATAAGTCTTATTGCACATACAGCAAAGATAATAGCAAAGATACTTAAAAGAAGAATTGAAAGGAAAATAGAGGATGTACTTGGAGAAGATCAGTTTGGATTTAGAAGAGGAAAAGGAACCAGGGATGCAATTGGGATGATGAGAATTATAGCAGAACGAACTTTGGAGATAGAAGAAGAACTGTGTGCTTGCTTTATAGACTGGCAGGAGACATTTGACCGTGTAAATTGGACTAAATTAATGCAGATCCTAAAGGAAACAGGTATCGATTGGCGTGAAAGAAGATTGATTAGTAAATTGTACATGGATCAGAAAGTT